GGAATTGCCTTTTAATGAAAGGGTGTAGATGGTCAGCGTCAGTGTGTGGAAAGGTGTCAAAATAACACGGACAAGGATGGCAGGACCCACAATTATGAAAAATATTCCAGTTTTTGTTGCCAACTAGAAGGTAATTAGAAATTATTAATTTGAATATACATATTATAGCACATTGACTTGGCTATTCAACATAGAAATAATAATAATAATAATAATAATAATAAAAAAAAAAAACACAACCAGTTATAACACTGACCCCCGGATGGTGGCAGTACTATCAGTATCTGAAAAAATATAAAAACGAGCCTTGATTTTTTTGTGGAAAAGGCGACGTTTTTTAACTTTGAGAAGCAGCATAAGGAGGAAGCGCAAACTTGAATTCAACTGTTTTGCATTTTTAATCCCTTTCCCCTCCTTTAATGGTCCAGCATCAAACTACATGTTTGTTTTTATTTTTGGCTTATAAAAACGCGCAAGGTTTTATGCTAACGTTGCTGCCGTGCACGTTTCTCTATCCTTCAGCCGCCACCAGGGGGCGGTCGTGCCAACACTGTCCATGCTAGTTCAGTTTTCAGGTTTGATATTTCATGAATAGAAACAAGTTATATAAAGAGAAAAAAAAAGAAAAACAAGTTATATTAAAAACCGCAATGAAATTGAATTTTTTTTTTTTTTTTACTCACAGGCAAACAAATATCCACCTTTATAAAGACCAGTAAAAGGAGTGATGCTAACTAAACACGTCAAAGCAGCGAGAAGGTCTGACTCTGTGACTTTTAATTAATTACCTTTGTGTATATATTTATTTATTGACGGATTCAAAAGATCCAAAAAAAAGGCAACGATAATCTTAAAAAAAAAAAAAAAAAAAAAAAAAAACGGAAACCCGTAGCGCAGTAGTTTACAAAAACCTTGGCTTGATTAGTTTGCTGGCAACGAAAGAGGAAATAAATTAAGCAATTTAATATATGTTCCCTTACAATCAGCTGATTGTCACCGGTGTGGACCTGGATGAAGAAAAACAAGCTCAAGCTGCTCTGCCGGGGCAGTAATCAGCACCACATGAGACTGGACAGCTCCACCCGGGGCTAAACAAGGTTTGAAATCAGCCCCCAGTGGACCAGGAGGGGAAATATCATTTAAAGCAGCTGCAGTCCAGAGCACGTTGGACTTGGAAATGTAATAAAGTTTAGTCGCTGCTAAAGAAGTTTTCCTCCCGCTATTTAGGTTTTACTCGGTTTGAGTAGAAGACCACAATGTAACCCTTTCTTCAGGTCTTATTTTATTGGCTTATTCGATTCCCTTTGATCCACCTGTTTGCTCTTGTCTGTTATGTTTTCGTCACGCATTGCGGCTTGATCAGCCATCAGCATCAAGTTTAAACTTTATGGTCATTTCCTGAAAGCAGATCAGTTCAAACCAGCGTACTGTTTGTATTGTATGGAGATCATTTACTTGGTACGTTATGTCATAATAATAATAATGTGAAAGGTATCTGCTCTGGCTCTCTTGTCTTTAATAACTGAACCCAAAAGAGATGAAATGTGTTTAGACAGACATGAAACAATAGGATAAGTGTACAATGGTATTTAACATTTAAGGTCAGGGCTGTGGCAGATAATATGAAAATGATCAGATCACTTATTGAATTCTGACATTAGCAATTAATAATCCACGGAAAAAATATAGCTTGCTTTTATTTCATCAGTCTCCTAGTGAATCGAATCTGACTAAAGTTACCCTCTGGTAGCTGGATTCTTTACAAAGATCACATTTTTTATCATATTGGTTCACAAATATGCAGACATTGTTTCTTTAGAAAGTTATTTTAGGTTGGTACTAAGCCTTGTGCTACTAACTACTGAGGTTATGACTGGAAAACAGCAGAGTTAAAGCCCACACACCTTCTGGTTCTGTTTGGTTGAGCTGTAAATGGACTTTTTTTTTTTTTTTAATTATTTGTATACAACTTGCAGGCAAGTGTTTTGGCGGTGGTGTTTGTGCGTGTGTGGAGAGAGTGGTACGATGCATGTTCCATTTGCTAGTAAAAATATAAGACTTTGAAGATAAATAAGGTGAATCCAGGTTTTGTGTGAGCTCCGTAATGAACTGGGCTCGCTGAGAAACTCGTTGAAAAAGAGCCATCGTTAGTGCTACCGAGTCACACTGAGCTTCTTCCGCTTCGAGGTCAAAAGCTTTAAGAAAGCTCTCCACGGTGGTTCTTCCCTCCATGCAGAAATGTTATGAGTAATGACTCATTTAGCTGCGTGGTTCTGTACTCTTGTAGCCCGTTTGAGCTTATGTTACTATTTCTAACATTTTTAAGTCCCATAATATACCCTGTGGGGGGTATTAACTATTTCTCAAGATATTAAAGGTTTTAAAAATCATTTGAGCTCTGCAAATTTGTACCAGGGCCCCCCTGGTGTTTATTTGAGCGTTTTATCCACCTCTGTGGGCCCCGTTGACTAAATATGCAAGTGTCACTTGCATTTGTATTCAGCCTCCCAAACAAATAAATTTGATTATCATTTGTTTGTTTTATTCAATCGTTACAGGGTAGGGGAAGAGCTGGTGCTTGTTACCAGGTCAGCAGTCTATCGCAGCTTGACGCAGACAGAAAAATCGCATGACAAATTAAAATTAACTTGATAATTCCCAATCTGATTGATATTTTTTTTAAGGGGAATTTTGTTTATGTTAGACAGTTTTATTCATGGCTTCTGTTGTGTGTTTTTATTTCCCTTTTATTTATCGTTTTTGCTGGTTGCGTTTTATTTTGGATATTTAAAAATGTCTTCCAGTTCCAGTGTGGAATGTTTGACAAAATTACATTTTAGTAGTCAGAGAGCAAATTTGCATTATTAACTATCAACATATTACTTCAAAACAATTTCAAATATCTTTATTTCCCCCCATCTGTTGGCGACTTGCAGCTGATGTTCTAAATCCAAGCGGCGTTGGAGACATTGGTAACGATAAAGAAAGACAGAAGTGTTGACCGGAACTGATGAGCATCACAATTTTAATTAAAATGATATTTCTAGTGTCATGCAGCCTCAGACCTTATGCAAAATAATTGAGAAAATTTAATCTCAGCTTCCATTAGCTGTAGCTTCTTAATCATCATAAACGCTTGATGTAGAAAATCACAATCGAGTTTTGCTGATTGAAACGACTCAAGCTTCAGTTTTCAAACGGAACGAAATCCTCATTTTCATGAGATGAACATCGTTTGATTGTAATGTGAACTCTGCAGGCGTATGACAACTTGCCGTCTTATTGGCTGCAACTTCTCGAATGCTAAAAGGCCTGACAGAAATCTAAAAACCATTTAAAACAAGCTAGAATTTTTTTTTTTTTTTAAACGAAGAAGCCGAGCTAGAGTCCGATAGAAATCTGTGACGGTACGAAGACGTCGTCTCAGAGCCCCTCCTCAATCACGTCGCCGCTACGCTTCAAGAATGAAACGTTTTGTTCCAAATCTCGTCGCTGCGGTCGCTACGAGTCAGCGGCGCAACACGAAACGAGCCACTTACCGTCAAAACGGGCTCATTTTTGGTGAGAAAATTAACCGCGGCACCAGAGCATCCCAATTACATGTTGAAACAGCATGCTGTAGACTGCCCCCAAGTCAGAAACAAAGACTACAGGGAGATATTCATATATAATTCATTGTTATGAAATGGTGCATAGTTGGTGGGAGAAAAGTTACTTGAGATGGCTTTTAATTTCCAAATGGTAAAATGTAAAACAACAGATTAGAAAATCCGGAAAAGGCAACAAACGTATTGCATGAAACAAAAGCATGAGAGTAAGAGTGCAGCACAGAAGAACGCAAATCAGACGACTGGATCGACTTTGTTTATTTAAGATAGAAATCAGGCACATTAATATAAAGAAATGTATGCACTAATAGGTCAGCTCTCAATAATAATAAAATCCACAGCAAATTATTTCAACTCAGGACTCAAACCAAATAACAGAGCAAAAGATGGGGAAACAATCCACTGACATTTTTCTTTCTGTTTCGGAGTCCAGTCACCTCAACATGTCCCTCCGGCTGGAGTTCAGATGTTATCAGCAAAGCAAAGGTCCGTCTCCGAGGCGAGAGCAGCAGAATCTCAAAGCGCTGCTGCGGACCAACGACCTGCTCAAGAGCAGAAACCTGCACGACCCCTCTGCACCTTACAGCTCCACCCCACTGGTTTTAGTTAGAAAAAAAACAAACAAACAAAACCCCCACACATTACAAATTTAAAAAAAAAGAAATAAAAAAGACATTTAATTTTAAAGCTCTATCATCTGGAGAGAGAGAAAAAAAAAAGGATTTATGGTTTTATAAAGATTCTGATATAAAATTTTTAGTGTTCAAGCTCAAGGACGAGAAGTTTAAAGGCAAACGCTACACAGCAAGTAGAAAAATATTGATCCCGTTAAATTGAACCCATTCAGAACGTGGAGATGTTTGGTCTCACTAGTAAATGAAGCTCATTGGCTTTGCAAAGTACTGACGCACACTCCGCTCATCCTGCAGCCCTCCGAGCTCTTCCAAAACTCTCAGGAGTTCAGGAAGCTTTAAAAAGACAACAAAACAAAAAAGAGCTCTACAGTGAGCAGCAGTGGTGTCAGTCTGAATACATGAAGTCGTAAAATAAAACAAAGAACAGCCGACAATGATCGGGATTTGAGACGAGGGTTTTATAAAGAAACAAAATTTAACTGTTCAAACGTTAAAGTAATGACACAAATGTGATAAGTTTAAAGTTATTAGACGTTTAGTGGCTTCTGAACATTATTTTAGGATTTATAAATGCAAGCACATATAGAAATGGCCTGAAGCTGGTTTTTTATGGAAGACGAACGACTGAATATCTCACTATTAAGGTTAACAGCTACTGCTTAAGAGAAAAAAAAAAAGAGAGAAGCTAATTTTGCATAGCTGATATTTGCAGTCTGTCAAAAACATAATGGAAAACCCTACAGCCCCAGAGTTTTACTTAAACGTGTTTAAAAAAAAAGATAAAAAAAAAAAACAATAATAAAAAAAAAAACCTCGGAATTACTTTCTGTATCCACATTTTCTTCTCGTATACATGAAAAAAAAAAAAGTCCTGTCCAGTTGGTTTCCCTTCTGACTGCACTTTCTACAGAACAGACGGTTAATGCTGCAGGTAGAAGCAAATCTGAAAGTTAGGAATGAGGCAGTGGAGGAATACAACGGGCCAAACCAAGACGAACAAATGACAGCTCTTTGATTTGACTCAATAAAAGGCTCAATCTATGCTAAACTTTTGGGTTACATACTGACGCTCTCCCTCCTGGGGGGATTCTCTAGATGCTATCCATGGCTTTGAACTCGCTCAGAGCCTGCACAGGGCTGACGTGCTTCTTCTGCGAAGATCTCTTGACTTTGTTGGTCTGCCCGTCGTCCTGCTTCTCTCGCTTCACCAGCGGCTTCTTCTCGGGAGCCTTCATTCTCCAGGAGACGGCGGGCATGTTGAGCGCCTCCATGTTTTTGTTCTTTTGGTACTTCGTAGAGGCGACGTAGGAGGCCTTGACGGTGGACACCACGGCGTTCATCAGGTTCTTGGCTGCCTGAATGAGGGACATGGCGCTGTCCAACTAAATCGAGAAGAGAGAAGCTGTTAGCGTCAAGCAACCGCGAAAACGAAAGGCTGCCGTGGTACTTTTTAATTTTACACAATTTGAATTCGTGTAAACTGAAAAGTAACTCGCCATCCCCTCTTAATGTCTTCTGGTTTTGGGGCCAAAAACTTAAAACTCAGACGTATGCAGCGGAGGATCCCTGGCGTCTGGCGAGTTTCAGAATATCTAAAAAGGTCACCCTAATTTAATCTGCTCGCTTAACGGCTCCAGAGACACTAGTGACACTTAAAAAATGCTGGAATAATAGTCTCGTCTGTGTTCCTTCAGGAAGAAGGGCAAAAATCACGACACCCTGCTCATTCAGGTATAGTAATGTAGACATTTTAAACTGGAGAGTAAGTGCTTAATTATTGCTTAAAGGCTCTGAATGTTGCTAAGCTGGAAGGTGGAAAGGTTAGAAAACATTTGTTGAACGCAGCCGGGCGCGTTTGAGACATTTATGCCGTTTTTGTGGAAAAAGAATCAGCCCTTGTTTTGGCAGGCTTTGTCTTTAAGAATTTGTCATGGATTTTAGCAATAAATTAAGCTTCAGAAAGTAAGTAGTGCGTTCAATTTAATCATAATAAATGCATGTAAAAAAAAAAAAAAAAATCTGTTTAAGCCTCAAATTGCAAGGTGAGCAACTGTGAAGCATCAGAAAAAACAATGACTGTTCCGTCTGCTATGGAAAGTTGAAATGTTTTTATTCATCAGTCACTTTGTTTTTTTTTTTTTGTTTGTTTTTTTTTTTTTAAACGGCATCACTGACTTCTTCTGCACTCATTAAAATTTGTCCGTCAGCGTGAAAGAAAATTATGCTTGGTTAAAAAAAAAAAAAGGGGAAGAAGCTGGACTCACCCCAGAGACGACCAGCTCCCCTCCCAGGTTCTGAACTTCAGCCTTGACTTTACTGCAGATGTTGAGCTGATGGCAGTACAAGGCGATGCGCTGCAGGTAGGCGAGCAGGTCCTGTTTGCAGGAAGAGTCGGGACACTGTGGGAGAGACAACAGAAACACGGTTAAGTAATGTGGAAAAACACATTTGCACATCTGAGTAAAAATTATACGTCTTGAACTGGTTTTACAGAGAGGGAGAGAGAAAAAAAAAAAGAAAAAAAGAGTCTTTGTAGCTTTTGTTGCAGACACTCTAATGTGCATATCTGTGTACTTTTTCATTCATCTCACACTTTATCAGGATAAGATAGTAGCAGTGTGACAGGTAGACACCCACACTATGAGCGCGCTCGGAGCCAAAATGACAAACACACGCCCACAACCTGCTGTCTCGTCTTCACGAGGTTACAGTGTGATCACTTAACGCACAATGCAAATTGTGCGACTGGGCGAAAAGTGCTGTCAATCAGCTGCTGGCGGGGGGCGTTCCGCTAAAGTCTCTGTTACAGTAGACGGGGAAAAGAAAACAAACAGGTAAAGTTTAAGATTGCATGTTTGTTGGAAGGCAAAATGCAAAATGGTGTGAAGATATGAATGAAGTATTGGAGAAAGAACTCGGCTTTGTCAGACTGGTATTATTTTTTGCCTTATTGCTTAGTTGTGGGGCAAAAAAAAAAGTCTACTGTAATTACCATTTACCACCATTATTTCTTGAGTTTGGAAACCAAAATAAATTGGTTTTATTATGAATTAATTAATTTCTTGTATTTTTTTCAAAATTATATATTTTACAGTTTAGCCAATTTTTCCACCCAACAGTGTCTAAATATAATTTATATGCAATTTTAACAGTTTGTAGGCAAATATTAAAACACTTTTATAAACCCTCTGGCCCCCAAAAAGAAAACAAGTAAAATAACAATCAGTATCAAATGTTCATTGCATTAGCTTGTGACCTATACCGACTCACCAAAAAACAACATTCAGACACCTCGTTCATTCATTCTTGTCAGTCTTTGTGATTTATGACAACAGAAGCCGTTTCTGCAGGTTTCAGAAAGTTGATATTTTCAAACACTTTCCTTAAAAACACACATTGCTTTTTTTATTTGTGTAGAGAAATATCTCCTTTGGCACAGATGGCTACAAAGGAGCCATCTCCTTTGTATGGAGATGTATCTCCAATAGACATGCCCGGAACGTATTAAAGATCTTTGCACAGATCTTTAATCTGCATAAAGAGGATGCTAGTGCTAGTTCACCTCCTGCCTGTACTGAGATGACTTTCTAATAATTTAGTTAGTTTTTTAATCTGCATTTGAGTGCAGATTAAAATTTTACAAGAAACAATCTACACACCTTTTTTAAATACTTTCATTTTTTAATGTCGTAATTTTTAAGTACTAGCCTTTCAGCTGCTTTCTGGTCAGTTTTTCCACAGGGAGGGGAAGGAAAACGGCGCCTCAGCTACGTTGGTCCATCAATTGTTCTTTTTCTGTGAATCTCATTGGAAAATTATAAAAGCTTTGGGGGCCAGGGGATTTGTTTGTGATCACATCCACATTAAATTACTCTTTTCTGCATTGAGGAAAGTCATAAAGGACGCAACGCAAAGTCATTTGATTTGTCAATTTTTTTTCTTAAATCGTTTGGTTTGAAAATCAAAATAAAACTTTGATTAATTGCACCATCCTAGCCTTCTTTGTTGTACGATGCCGATCCTAAATGGAGGGCAGTATTGGCATAAAAAAAGCAAAGTCCCAGACCTAAATGAAATCTGTGAGTAACAGAGGGCCGGCATGGAAGCTCAAGCTGTGCCAGACAATGATTTTCACACCGTTTGGTTGGTGATCAGCAGAGGCATTATGAGTGAGGCGTTTTTGCAAAGGTGGGGGACAAGGACTTGTGAATGAAATGAAAGCGTTTGAAACTTCTGGCAAAAATCATTTGGAGTCCTTATAAGATGAACCCCAAGTTTGAAAAGCCTCTAATTTCGGCTTCAGAGAAGAGATAGTCAAAAGATGGCTTGGTGAACACAGCCACTAAATTACAGCCAGAACCTCCCCACATCAACTTCAAGAAATACATTATCATAAAATCCACTTTAAAGTGGCAGCATGTGAAGAACCCCGTAAATGCATCTCATTTAGCACTGGCAATCTCTTTGAATCATTTTATCTCGTCGTAATTAGACTTGGGCTCCACCGTTTCCAATCCCTTTCCTGGTTAGCTAAACAAGCCCCCTGCCAGCACAGTAATTAGGCCACAGTACTCTTCTTAGCTGCTCATCAAGTGAAGGATGTAAACACTTTGATGGGGGCCCTGGCGCTTTAGATCAGATCAGAATGACCTGAGTCACAAATGCTTTATCAGTAATGATCAACAGACAGACTTCGGTACAGATCACAGCCTGCCAGCTTTTCGCAACATCTACTAAACACACTAGATGCTACAAAAAAAAAAAAAAAAAAAGATCATGGCTGACAACGCGAGTGACAAGGCCAGAAGAAAATACCGACTTAAATGCCAGTGTTTTTAGGAACTCGGCTCTCTGAGGGGAATATCCTTTAGAAGTGTCTCAAAAGTGCTGCGAGAAGGTGAACTTAACAGCAGTCCATCTTTTAATTGCCTGAAGTTGAGAAAAACAGAAGCTGGGAAAATCAGTGCCGCGCAATCGACTCGTCGAGTCTGCATACATGTGCTGAACACTTAAGCATTTTTAAACAGCTAAACAAGAAAATGATGGTCAGGAACCGTGCATGCCCCAGTTCACTGTGCAGACATACACCAAACTTTTGAACGCTACCTTAAACAGGGAATATCTGTATAGTTCATAGAATAGAAGTGATGCTGGCAGACAGAAGGCTACTGCACTTTTGAATTAGCCGATAGCCTGGCTAATTCACTAGCTAATTTCAGCCGGTCACACTTGTGTTACTTTATAAAGACATCAAGGGCAAAAAGTTATATTCAATGCAATGAACATTTGAAAAAATAAATTTGTGGATATTATATTTTTGCTTAAGAGCATGTATAAAAAAATGATTATAGATAACGTTTAACTGTAACGTACTAAACCGTTTTTGCAACAGTACGAACAATGGCTCCTTTCTTGTCTTAAGCATCCGATCAATTTCTACATTAGCTTTAAAATTTCAAGTAAACACTTTAACTTTGATACTTTTACACAAGGTACACCTGCTGTGAGAATTTTTCACAGGCCTAAGTACTCGGGACAGCAGTATATTTACTCTCCTTACACAAGCGCACCAACATAAAATGTTTCCAAAATGGAAAGGGAGGAAAGGGAAATGGGAGGAATCTTGTTTTTCGGACACTTCAAACAGACTACAACTTGTGTGACGCATCTAATCCTGCTGAGCGCATCGGTATCCCTGGTGGGAGTGTGGAGTGCTCCACTGAATATGGTGGACTCACTACTAGATATAAACCACGCGGCATACATTTATTTATGAACTACCAGGCCAACATTAGTGCTCATTCACACACATCTAATCAGAGCATTAGAGAACACAGAAGAGTTCAATTATTAATCATTATATTTGCAAAGTTCTCACCACAGAATATTACTCTGAATATTATTGAGCAGGCTAAGAAAAGAGACTTGCCACTTTTATGACAGGAAACTATGCACAAAAAAAAAAAGGCAAGGGGAAATAGAGCTGGAGGGGTTGATCATGGTACAGGAGAGGAGCAAAACATGGCTGCTGGACTGGTGAAAAGAGAGGTAGTGGGGAAGGTTATAAACAGCAAGAAAGGACCAGAGAAAAATCAGGAGAAAAGACAAGGATGAAGAGTCAGCCAGAGGGTGTGGAGGAGTAAATAAGGGAGAAATCCGATTGGGGAAAAGAAAAAAAGAAAGAACAAGAGGATTCAACTAAAGTTGGGAGGGGCATTCAAGTCAGAGTGAGACAGCAAGTGCGCGAAAAACGTGCGCGCGCAGAGGCACAGATGCAAATGCAAAGACCTGCGATGAAGCTGAATGCAGCAGCCATGCTAATGAAGGCTCGGGGAAGTGTTCAGACGGCAGAGAGCCGGGCACTGTGAAAGCATCACTTGTGCTCATACTCGCTTCAGCTGCTGGCTTCCCTCAGCACTCAGGAAACTCTGGAACGCCGCTCCCGCTGTCACATGCGAAAGCTGAGGTCGTACCGAGAGGGCCGAGGGAAACTGGGGAAATTGTTTTTTGCAAAGAAAATGGAACGTAACGCTTTTGATCGTTCAAGATGGAAATTAAACCATCTTCAGTCATGTTTAAATAAGACTGCTCGGCAGGAAATTAACATGTATGCAACGTCTTAACTCACAGGCCAAATAATGTCAGCACACTGGCTCAGATCATGAGTAGTATTTCTTAAGTCTGTAACAAAAGCTGAATTTGATACAGACTGAATTTCAGTAAAACTTGTAAAAGAAAAAAAAATACTTAATGACATGAACTTTAACTGCACACAGCAATTTATTTATTTTTTTTTTATCAGGCCCAACAAAAAGAGTCCCTTAGGTCTTACATTGAGTGTGTTTGTGTCCAGTTGTAGAAAGAGATGAGAAAGCAGAAAGAGGTGGAGGAGAGACTTCAGCACATAATTCTTTTCAAGGCAAACTAATAGAAAAGGTGAGTCACCACCTAAAAAAAGGAGCCAGCAGTGCAGGTTGAAATGTCAATGATTCCTGTATAGTTCTTGTCCTTAGTGCTCGCTTCTAAAAAAACAAAAATAAATAAAAGGTAAAGTCAGGTCAAAATGTAGCTGAACGCCATTTAGATATGCTAAATTAATCTGCGATACATCAATGGCTTCATACTTAAAAGGGATCCAGTTAAACTGATGGTTTCAATTTATCGTGCCTCCTCTCCAATGTGCAAAAGCGACTTTAAGCAGAGTCCAAAAAAATTAATAAATGAAAAAATAAAAACTCGAAATGTTTCATTAATCTAAAAGAAAGTCCAGAGAGAGAAAACAGGATGTTGAAGGAAACCCCATGACAGTGCCGTGTATAAAGTAACAACCTCTTTATACATGGCACTGTATAAATGATGAACAGGACAGTCAGGTCTCATCAATGGAAATGCCATGCAG